GACAAAAGACTGCATTAACATGAAACAAGGAAATGAACAGACCAGTTGAAGGTCAAGTGCTACACCCACAGTTAAACCTTTCTGTTTCTGGAACTGAGCGAGTCACGCTTACACCCTAGAAAAAATATTTTGTCGGCAAAACACTCCCTGTGTGGGATCCAAAGTTATTCCCTTAAGAGACTGGAACTTAGTTGGATCCTTAGACTTTTGTTTGAGGTAGGAGCAGATGTAATTCTCTAGTCCTGGAATACAAGGTCTGGCTATTAGCCATGCCTGTGAGCAACAACCTTGAGAGAGCAGAACTTTCTGGTCTGTTTCTAGGTGGAACCTTTGTTTGAGGTAGAAGCACAATAACCTTGAAGCAACTAGAGGTAAGTTCCAACTCTCTGACCTTTGGTCAACATGGAAATAGGCTGACATTTTTTGGTCTCCACATTCATTTCAGGATCTAGGACCCATATCCCTAGGCACAGTTCTACCTTATCTGGAGGTATCACTCCTTCTACCTATGTGGCTTTGTTGAAATATAAGCCTGAGTCTCACAAGAATGCCCTTTTCAAGGGAGAATATGTTCCCAGAACCCTGTTGCTCTTTCAGACCCAGTCTGTAAGTTTGAAAGGAAAAGACTCCTCTGCCTCCTCCCTCCCTGCTTCAGCACGATTCTCTCAGGTAACAGGTCCGAAGGCCATGTGCATTTGGAATGGGTATGACCCTCAGAGAGGGCACAAAGATAAACATAAATTCACCTGTGACATCACCTTCCTTCAGAACATAAATGAACATTTCTCTGTGGCCTTAATGACACTGAAGTGTTTTCATTGTATTTCTGAAAGTTTCCTGTAATTTTAAATACCTACAAGCAATTAAAAGTTTCTGACTTGGGCTGGAGAGATGGCTCAGAGGTTAAGAGCATTGCCTGCTCTTCCAAAGGTCCTGAGTTCAATTCCCAGCAACCACATGGTGGCTCACAACCATCTGTAATGAGGTCTGGTGCCCTCTTCTGGCCTACAGACATACACACAGACAGAATATTGTATACATAATAAATAAATAAATATTAAAAAAAAAATAAATAAAAGTTTCTGACTTGTGCTAAAAATCTCTGCAGAGCCATAAATATGAGACAAAGGATCAGTGTTTCCAATGTCTCTGGGGCAGAGAATGTCCCCACTTGTAAACAGCACATAAAGCATATGTCTGAATCTTTGAGGACACACATTGTAGAATAATGCTATCCATTAGGTACATAGTCCCATCGGATGGTGTGAATTTGCGAGAAAACTTTTGTACTACAGATTCCTCCTCTAGTTTGTCACAGTCCCCTTAATTGCACAATTAACAAGGCAATTAAAGATATGGAACATCAAGTGAACGGTACAATTAAGAACACTGTGCCCAGGAGTATTAATCAAATCTGTTACAGAATGTTCATGCACATCTACACAAAGTATTTGTAAAATATGTTTGAGAGGAGTAATTCTGAATTGGGAAGAACACTGGCAATACTCTCTTACTGACTTAATCTTCCTCAGAGACTTCATTAAGTCAGTCTACCATGGGAAGTAAATGTGATGAATAATTATTGCTTTTAAAGTACAATTGGTATATAGAAAAGTATATACATACAAATATATTAAGATATTACATGTACAAGTATGTAGACATATATATATGTACATATATATGGGCTATATATATCTATGTATACATATTTGAGTTATATTTCAGGAATAGAAAATATTTTGTAGCCCTAATGTCTAAGAGGATTAAACATGGACATAAATTTAGCCTTTGCATCTAAATTTTGTAATCAATTATATTCTACAACAGAAGAGTGTGGGATTGACTTTTCTGATGAATGCTGTTTGATGTTTGCCTTAACAAATCAAACATTCACCTAACTGAAAGTCGAGCTAAAAATGTGTTTGAAATCAATTAGGAACAAATACTCATTTTACTAACATACTGTGAACCCAGCATGCTAAAAATTAATAGACTTTTAAAGAAAACAATTGAATTAATATCACTATGCTGTGGACTCCTGATGTACTGACTGTATCATGCACTTCTCCCTCATGGCTTATTCATTTTCCTGATGCAGAAATATGTCTGTATGCAGTCACTACATCAACGACCACTGGCTGAAAGCAGTGAAGCATGAGAAACAATGTCCTCAACATGACACAACATTGAAAGCAACACATGGATATATATATATATAAATATATATATATATATATATATGAAACACATGGATATATATATATATGAAACACATGGATATATATATGTGAAACACATGGATATATATATATGAAAAGCATGGATATATATATATATGAAACACATGGATATATATATGTGAAACACATGGATATATATATATGAAACACATGGATATATATATATATGAAACACATGGATATATATATATATGAAACACATGGGTATATATATATATATATGAAACACATGGATATATATATATATGAAACACATGGATATATATATGAAACACATGGATATATATATATATGAAACATATGGATATATATATATATATGAAACACATGGATATATATATATATATATGAAACACATGGATATATATATATATGAAACACATGGATATATATATATATGAAACACATGGATATATATATATATGAAACACATGGATATATATATACATATATGAAACACATGGATATATATATGAAACACATGGATATATATATATATATGAAACACATGGATATATATATATATGAAACACATGGATATATATATATGAAACACATGGATATATATATAAATATATATACAGAGAGAGAGAGAGAGAGAGAGAGAGAGAGAGAGATATTTATATATATAACACATGGTCTTGACTTTTGGTGATCGCCTGAGTTAATGGGGTCACAAAATAATTTTCCCCATGAGAGACTCTTGTAGAGGAATTGATAAGACAACAGTCATTTCTTCCATTTCAATATTGCGTTTGCTGCGCTGGCCAATAAATAGAGAGGATGGCCTTTGTTCAAGATATCAGAAGTCTTCAGATTCTTGGAAACGGATCAGTACCATGCCTGTGCAAACTATAGCAAAGATCAATTGCTTTTATTTTACTTCATATGACACCACTGCACAAGGGATTTTATATAACATATGATATAGAAAAACTAAAAATCACAACATTGTTGCATATCTACACAAGGGGAAGAATTATTGAGGATTCACTAGAAACAAAAGTTAGATTTAAGAAATGAATAAAAGATAGAGAGTAAAATGTGTGAAAAGATAATCCACCTTGTAACCCCAGAATAATTCCTATAAGTATGTATGTTTTAAAAATGTTTACGGGGATCAAGGGTTTGTTGGAGCTGTAGAAATTACCTCAACTCTTTCACTGAAAAATAGTGCTACATTTGCCTGAATGGAATTAGACATCAATGTAAAAGAGTTCATAAAAATTAGCAGATACAATGAATTCTATGACAATAATGTAGAGAACAAAATAGGAATATGTTATTATAGCTGGGCGATGGTGGCGCACGCCTTTAATCCCAGGACTCGGGAGGCAGAGGCTGGCACATATCTCTGAGTTCGAGCCCAGCCTGGTCTACAAGTGCTAGTTCCAGGACAGTCTTCAAAGCTACAGAGAAAACCTGTCTCAAAAAAACTAAAAAAAAAAAAAAAAAAACAAAAAAAACATATGTTATTGTATGGTGATATTTTATTTATGATCCAACAAATAAAACTTGCCTGAAGACCAGAGTGCAAAGCTAGCAACACTAGCCAGCTATATAGGCCAGGCAGTGGTGGCCCATGCCTTTAAACACAGAAATCACACTAGTTAGCCTTAGAGGCCTGGCAGTGGTGGTATTTGCCTTTAATACCAACACTAGAGAGGGATATAAGGCAGGATGAAATGGGAACTCTCTCTTTTCAATGTGAAAAGGTACTTTTAGACTTGGTAACTTTCCTGAGTCTGAAGTAGCCTTACAGGCAAGTGTGCTTGCAGTCACCCATGGCCTCCCTTAGGCCCTTTGATCTTCAGCAGATCATCTGACAGAGATACCTGACACAGAACTGGTTAGTGCCTTCTGATGGACAATCGCATGGGAAAGTTCGCATTTGGCATGCATCAGACTGCATTATGAAGAAGGTTGGCAAACTGCCCACATACGTGAGCACCACCAGTTCACTGAAGACCACCTTACATAAAGCACCTATACAAGTTTGTACTAAATTAGCTACAAAATTCTGGAAAAGGACTAATAAGAAGAAATCTGTTGCCCTTTATTTTTAAAATGTATTTGAAACTAAATGAAGTGAATTGATGTGTTTCTAACTATTATTCTAAAACGTTAATGATTTTGGGGCTGGAAAGATGACTCAGCAGTTAAAAGCCCTGGCTGCTCTTCCTGATGAACAATGTTCAACTCCCAGGATCAACATGGAGGCTATCAACCATCTATAACTCCAGTTTTAGGTCCTTCTAAGTTTTCTTAGTAGCCTTTGTGGGCACTGTATGCACATACATGAAGGAAAGAAATTCACAGCCAGGCAGCAATGGTGCACATCTTTAATCTCAGCTATCACGAGGCAGAGGGAGGCAGATCGCTGTGAGTGTGAGGACAGTCTGGTCTACAAGAGCTGGTTCCAGAACAGGCTCCAAATCTACAAAGAAACCCTGTCTTGAAAAAAAAACAAAAAAAATGGAAAGAAAGGAAAGAAGAGATTCACACATATGAAATGAACAAATTGCCCTAAAACTTTTAAGTATTAATTATTTGATCTCAGACAGAAAGTTAAGAAATACACAATACTAATGAGTCATGAATTGGTATCTAATTATGATTGAGAAGACATCAACAGACATGAGCTGGGATAAACAGTTTCCATTTAGAATGTTCCCCCTGTATTTGTCAGATACATTGTTGGTACATTAGAATATTAGCAATTTAGCAAAGCAAAAAATATCTGCTCTGATTAGTCACCTTTGACTGTGTTGGTCTTCAAGGACCATGCCACGCATGAGTCCATGTTGATCAGGGCGGTGGGTTCTGCCATTTGGAGCCATGGAGACATTCAGGTACAGGCCACTGCCTAGGGCAATGTCTACCTCATGACCCAGTGAAGGCTGGGATCTTGGCTGGTGTCTATGGCTCCTATGGTCACCGAGGGCTACACAGTTGCTTGAGGTCTGGTTAGTCACCTGGAACCATGCTGCCACTAGGGCAGTGCTGATCTGGATGGCCTGTGCTGTCACCAGGCCATGGCCATGTCGGCTACCAATGGCCATGTTCTCCTTAATCATAACCTGAGCTGTGGTCTAAAACAACTTCTAGGCATAACTCATAGTCCTAGCTGTGAAACATATTTTTGTATATATTTTTACTCATCAAAGTTCTGCATAAGCTTACATCATTATCAATTATATGGCCCAGCTTAGGGAGAAAGTCATCTTCATAATAATCTACAGGTAAAAATGACCAGTGGAATGGAAGGTTTCCATGAGACAAAAACATCACCATACAGGTAGTGAGGAATCTCCCTACACCCAATTTAGCCATGCCAGGTATCAGAGAAGGATTGTAACAGCAAGCATGTAAAGGGCAACAAATAAGCAAGATACATACATTTGATCTCAGGGGACTTGCCTAACCAAGATTTATCCATCAGAGGGTAGCCTCCTGGTGGGCTGACATCTTAAACCTCAATCTCTACCCTGCTGTCCCTCTGGCATGGCCATCGGCATGCCATCCGGTTCCCCAAGAAATCACACAGATGTAGATTATTACTTATAAATGCCCACATTAGTTTGGCTTATTTCTAGCCAGCTTTTTTTTTTTTTTGGTTTTTTGAGACAGGGTTTCTCTGTGGCTTTGGAGCCTGTCCTGGAACTAGCTCTGTAGACCAGGCTAGTCTCAAACTCACAGAGATCCGCCTGGCTCTGCCTCCCTTTGCTGGGATTAAAGGCGTGCGCCACCATCACCTGGCTAGCCAGCTTTCTTTAACTTAAATTTTGCATCTCCCTTTTGCCTCTGGGTTCTTTCCTTTTCTTATTTCTGTGTATTTTACTTTCACTCTCCCTCTGTGAGTCCCCATGATGTCGGGTGACTGGCCCCTAGTGTCCTCCTCTGCTTGCTCTCTTGTTCCTCCTTCTCTTGCTCTGTTTTCCTTCCATCTATTGTCTCTGACTTCCAGCTCTGCCTATTCTTTCTCTGTCCAGCTATCAGCCCTTCAGCTCTTTATTGGATCAATCAGGTGTTTTTGACAGCAAAATAACACATCTTCACAGAGTTAAACAAGTGAAACAAAAAAAAATGCAAAACATTTTTCATCATTAAAGAAAATGCTCCACAAAATGAACAAATGTAACACACCTTAAAATAATAATCTATTATAAGAAAGTTTGCCCTTGCAGTTGGGAAAGACAATTCCACCCTTCACCATAAGCATGCAGCTCACCTAACTAGTTGGGAAGTAAACTAGAACTGACCCTGGGGAAGGGGAACAAGGTGAATCAACCATGTGAGCATGAGTGCAGGGAAGCAGGAAAGCTGAGCCATTGCCCACCCTCATCTACCATGCAGTGGCACAGGTAATAGAAAGATGCCCTCTCTATTCCACCCATCATTACCTGTGGCAAGTGAGATATCTGGCCCCTGGGTACTGATCATGAGAGAATGAGCCCTGCCCCGTCAGCTATAGCTGACAGAAAACTGAACCCTGCACTCAACCTGGACAACACAGTCAAGTTGACTCCATTGTCAGGGGCACAAGTGTACCAGCCCTGAGGGCACGAAAGCAGGAGAACTAACACACTGCCACCCCTTCACATGCCCCCACAGCAATCAGAAGAAAGGGCACCCAACCTTGTCTGGTCAAAAGTATAGAGCCTGCTCTGTCAGTATGAGTGAGGGAACCTGAATCTGAGGACCCAAGAGCAGGAGAATGTGTCCCACTCCTTGCTGTAAGCTGCCTCAGATGAGCTAGCTGAGGCTATACTGGAGAGTTTGTGTGGGTAGTGAAGATGGAGTAAAGCTAGCAAACTGTCCAACCCACCTACCAACCAGGCCCAGTACCAAGGCTATGAGTTGGCCCACCTGTCGGATCCTGCCCACTTTGAAGGCCATCAGTCAGGTTTCCACATTTCAGCCACATCTGTTGGGGTCCAGACTAAGTGGGTTTGTACATTCCAGGGTAGGGCTGTGAGGATTAGAAATGCTAGGCAGAAAGAACAGAGACACAGAAGAAAAAGACATATAATTCTTCCATGATACATACTGCATTTCCATGGTCCAAAAAAACAAACAGGGTAATTACCTCTTCAATACCTGAAACATCAATAATTATATCCTGAATTAAGTATTCTGTTGCTTTGTCAGAACATGCAGCAACTACGTCTTAGGCAATAATCCTTAGGTAGTCACATCCTGGGTCAAATTGCCTGTCACAACCTTGAAGGAGCAAGAATAGGACTAAATACTTTGGTCAAAGTGGAATAGACCCACATCCATGGACTTTGACACCCATCCCAATATCCACCACATTTATGAACCATTGGGGCATGTGAAGTGAAGAAATATACAGACCCAAAACAGCAGAATCTCCATGACACACGAGAACAGGATATCAAAGAGAGGCCCTAGTGAGAGCCCATTATCAGTGGTATGGTGGAAGGCAGAGGTCTTATGACAGAGCAGTGACTTATGACAATGAACACTTGTAAGTAAAGATGAAAGGATTAAAGGGTAAACTAGGTAACTCAATGGACCACACTACAACTTCCCCAACAAGATTCTTTTTTCTATTTTTGTTTTGCTTTTCTTTGTTTTATTTGTCTTTTTTAAATCTGGTTTTGATTTGGGGGAGAGAAAAGATGTGATGGGACAGAGATATTTTGGATCAAAATGCATGATGTGAAATCTACAAAGAATCAATATGTCAGGGACCATTGTCCTGAAGATGATAGCAGGGACCATTGTCCTAAGGATGTTTGCAGAGAGCCCGACACCCCAACTACTTAGAGAATTATTTGTTATCCGAACCCGCCCACATTCCAATGATCTTGAGAACTGTTTTTTGATGGAATCACAAAAGAAAGGTTTCCACTTGCACAGGGAACACCAGGTGTGCTGACTGGTGACCTTTGCTACCCTGGCAAAGTTCCTTCCTACCCCTACCCCCACCCCAAGCCAAATTCCTCATTCAAGGGCTTTATAAGCTGCAACCATTACCCTAATAAATGGAGACCTTGACAACAGAACCTTGCTTGGTCTCCTTTTTCTCTCCCGCCCATGATTCTTTCAGGTAGTGCCTCTTCAGACCATTAATAACTGGACCTGCTGAACGAGTCATCAATAAAAGGAAAAATATCAGCTAAAGGCTTCCAATATTATTTGGTGAAATTTTAGCTTAGAAGTTACTGGAAGCTAGTCTCCTAAGCAACTACATTTCAAAGATTTAACAGAACAGAAAATAAAGTGCTGGCTCAGACACAAAGGTTGTTGGTTATAGCTATTAATTGAACTAGTGGTAGCTCAAGAAAAAATTTGCTCTTGATCCCCAACAAGCCTATGACACATCGTCAAGAAGTCCTAATAAGTCAATAAACCTTCTAATTCTTCAACACATGTGTGTTTTTCTCCAGCAAAACCAATTTTGCAATATTAAAAACCTGAGTATGTTTTGCATAAACATGTTGCTCCAGATCCTGAGTCCTCCATTCAAGAGTTAAATGGATGGTAGACAAGCTTGAACTTAAGGTATCTGGAGTCTCCAATAATTTGTTAGGAGCATCAATTATCCTGTAGGTTCAATATCCCAGAGAAATTCAGACCCACCCATGATATATGGCACTTATGACTTTTTCCTGTTTTTATGACTATTTCACTTTTTAAAAGAAGATGTCAGATCTGGAAATCCTTCTTGGGATAAGAAATGCATTCATATAAGAAAAAAGACCATTCAGTTATGCAAACAAAGGATTGCCTCCATGCAAGTCCTCTTTCCAACAAATTTCTGTATATTAATCTTTTATTATGGAACAAGTATAGGCTTTACTCTGTTTTCAGATTTTCTCTATAATAAATCTCTCAAGTTTCAGTGAATATTCATAGCTCCAAGATTATTTTACATATCTCAGTCACAGAAAGAATCTCAGTTAATACTAGGTATCAGGTTAGTAATTAGATTTCAACAGGTGTTAATTATCCTGCAGCATATAGAAATTTTCAGGTCAGTAATGCTACTAGTTGCCACAAGGTGGCAATCACAGACTGCTTCTGTAAGCTCCAATATGCTGTGGGATAATACTCTTGTACACTGTAAAGATTTGTCACTGACATTGTTTTATTAAAATGCTGATTGGCCAGTAGCCAGGCAGAAAGTATAGGCGGGACAAAGAGACTAGGAAAATTCTGGTAAGAGGAAAGGCAGAGATGCTGTATTATCCAGATGGAAAGGAACCAAGATGAGAATGCCTTACTGAGAAAAAGTACAAAGTTACATGGCGAAATATAGATTAGAGTTATTGGTTAATTTAAATTATAAGAGCTATCTAGTAACAAGTCTGAGCTATAAGCCAAATAGTTTATAATTAATATAAGCCTCTGTATATTTCTTTGAGACTGAAATACAGTCTCAAAGGCAGAGGAATAATCTCTGATCATCTTTCCCCCAGGTGTCTGTTATCAAAAACAGTTTCAATTTTCTTGGTATCCCCTCAATTGAATGTCACAGTTTGGAGCATCTGTTATCTACTGAGTTCTCTGGAGACCAGTATAGATGGTGAAATTCTGATGTCTGTCTTCCATACACTTTTGATGTATGCTTGCATCTTTCTATTTCAGGATTAAGCAACGTGTCTTGTGACCAAATCTGGTTTACCTATTCCTGAAGTGAAAGCTTGCCTTTTAATCTATTTACTCATATTATGTGACCCCCTAATCATAAATTTATTTTTGTTTTTAATTCTAATTTCCTAATATTATATCTCTCATTAGAAAACAGAAAGGTGGTGGTCCACTCTTTTAATCCTAATACTTGGGAGTCAGAGTCAAGTGGTTCTTTCTGAGTTTGAGGCCAGCTTGGTCTTTGGAGTGATTTCCTGGACAGTCAGGACTACATAGGGAAATACTTGTCTCAAAAAATAAAAGAACTCCTACTAAACAAAAGCACCTACCACCACCAACAAAACCCACAAGAAGTTTTATAAAGGATAAAATGTAATCATGCAATATAACAACATATTAAGTATATAATATAATATAAAGAAAAACCCTACAGTGCTGAGGA